ATTAAATCAGGGCAGTTATTAGGAGTTAAATTTATAGCAGAGCTTGGTGTTCCATTGTCACAGGTTAAAAGCATCTCAGGTACAGCTCAGGGTGGTAATGCAGACACCTTACCGCCTGGTTCTAGTGACAAGAATCTTGAAATACAAAAATCAAAAGATGAAGCCCAAGATAATGGGGCCACTATCATGCCTATTATAACAGAGTCTTTTTCTTTATCTGCTGAAGATTATGAAACAAAAAAGATTATTGTTACTGATTCCGATGATGATGATGACGATGATGATGTCATTTTCTGCTCGGAGATTCTGCCTGCAAAGGAGACTTTGCCAAGTACCAATGCAGTGGCCCAGGTTCAGCCTAACCCAGGCTCTGTTGCTATTTCTGATGTTGCGCCTTGTGCTAGCAGTGACTCTCCGCCGTTAGCAAATATCACACCTACTCAGAAACTTCCTACTTCTGTGAATCAGGCAACTCTGAGCCAAACACAAGGAAATGAAAAGTTGCTGGTATCTTCGGCCCCAACACATCTGACTCCTAACATTATTTTGTTAAATCAGACACCACTTACTACGCCACCAAATGTCAGTTCTTCACTTCCAAATCATATGTCTCCTTCAATCAATTTACTTGTGCAGAATCAGCAGACACCAAGCAGTGCTGTTTTAACAGGAAGTAAGGCCAGTGAAGAAGAGGAGGAGGAAATTATAGATGATGATGATGACACTATTAGCTCCAGTCCAGATTCAGCAGTCAGTAATACATCTTTGGTCCCACAGGCTGATATCCCCCAAAATACTACATTTGATGGATCATTGATACAGAAGATGCAGATTCCTACACTTCTGCAAGAGACACCTTCTAATTCTTTAAAAATTTCAGACATAATAACTAGAAACACGAATGATCAAAGTTTAGGATCAAAACATCTAACGGAGGGTCAAAAGATCATTACTTTAGATACAGCTACTGAAATTGAAGGCTTGTCAACAGGTTGCAAGGTTTATGCAAATATTGGCGAAGATACTTATGACATAGTGATCCCTGTCAAAGACGACCCTGATGAAGGAGAGGCCAGACTTGAGAATGAAATACCCAAAACGTCTAGTGGTGAGACGGCAAACAAACGTATGAAAGTAAAACATGATGATCACTATGAATTAATAGTAGATGGAAGGGTCTATTATATCTGTATTGTGTGCAAAAGGTCATACGTCTGCTTGACAAGCTTGCGGAGACATTTTAACATTCATTCTTGGGAGAAGAAGTATCCTTGCCGTTACTGTGAGAAGGTATTTCCTCTTGCAGAATATCGCACAAAGCATGAAATTCATCACACAGGGGAGCGAAGGTACCAATGTTTGGCCTGTGGGAAATCATTCATAAACTATCAGTTTATGTCTTCGCACATAAAGTCAGTCCATAGCCAAGATCCTTCTGGAGACTCAAAGCTTTATCGTTTACATCCATGCAGGTCTTTACAGATCAGACAATATGCATACCTTTCTGATAGGTCAGGCGCCGTGCCTGGAATGAAGGATGATGGTATTGGGTATAAGGTTGATGCTGGGAAAGAAACTCCAGTAGGGAACACATCTACTCCTCAGAACAAGCCAATGACCTGGGAAGATATTTTTATTCAGCAGGAAAATGATGCCATTTTTAAACAGAATGTAACAGATGGCAGTACTGAGTTTGAATTTATAATACCAGAATCTTATTGAACTCCTTTGAAATACCAGAAAGTTTTAGCTTGAATGAAGGGGAAGGGATTTCAGAAGACCTGTAAAACAAATTAAGGTGAAAATAAGTGGATTTGATCTACCATGTCATCTGAAGATAGTCTAGTTGGATTATTTGTTGATAATTTTTAGAAACAAATTATTCTGAAAGTTTGAGTAGAGATTAAGAAGTTTCCTCCCCCTCCCAAGTATCTGTTCGTATAGTTAGCTTTCAGCTTCATTTAAAAGGCAAAAAAACAAAAACAAAAAAAAAAAAAGCTTGGAGAGATAGTTTCCTGAATAGAATTTGAAGCAGTCTGAATGTTCTTTGAAAATAACTGGAGTTATTAGCATACCCTAGTATATCTTACAACTTTCCCCTTCCATGTTAGCACTTTACTGCTGAATTCTCAATTTTGTTAATATTGAGACTATAAATGTGTGTTGTGTCTTGTATATGGCATAAAAAGTAAATAAGAACTTCTAAAGTTGTTCTGGAAAATTTCAGAATAAGTCTCCATTTGGTTGTGTATTCTGCTAGTCCAGATGGATGGCAATTTCTTTCCTCCCTCCCCCCATGAAAATGGCCATGCAGACCAGTCTCTCATCTGAAGAATTAGTTTTAGCTAATTAGAATTATATCTTGCTTTTATTGCCATAGTCTAGGAAAAACTTCGGTGGCTGGACTACTGTGTGTGTGTGTGTGTGTGTGTACGTACACACAATTATCTTTGTGTGTGCGTGTGTGCGTGTGTGTATATATATATATACCTTTGCAATATGGTCTTTGTGGGCAGAAATATTAATGGAAAACAAATCTCCATAAAGCAGACAGGAGATAAAAATTTCTGTTGTTCTTGTTTTGAATTCTGTGCTCTCATCTGATAGAGGCAGTAGAGGTGAATGGAGATTTCGTTTTTGCTCATTATGGGGTTTAAAATACTCCCATGAAATTTTTCAAATTTTTAATCTGAAAGCCACCAAATAAACCTTTATGTATAAATCTTTATAAATGATAGATTCCATAAATGAGACTCCTACATATTTTGGGCGGAGGCTACTGGCATATATTTTTAAACAGTCATACTTAGAATCTAGTTTTCTTCTAGATTTCACCAGTTTGAAATAGTTAAATCAGTGATCTAGTGTTTTCCTTTCGGCAAAACCTTTTAGGTTTTTACCCCTTCTAAAGTCAGTTCCATTCCATTTGCAAATTGCTGCAACAGCATAGCAATCAGAACCTACGTATGGAATGTTATATAGGCTTTTTGAGTCCCCTTTATCTTGAGAACAATACCACCTATCTTCCTTTTAAAATGACACATATTTAAACATGTAGAAAATATAAAGTTATTGAAGTGCTAGTACTAAAAGGAAGCAGGTTGGAACAAATATATAGCCTAGCATTTATAACAGGATTAAATTGTTGAACTTCTGTAAATGACTTTGCAAAGAAAAAAATTAATAGATATTGAAAAAGATTGTTGTGCATAGTCATTAGTCATTTGTAACATTGCTTAAGTATTTCTTAATTCAACATAGATATTTTCTTTCTTCTTAACCATGTATTTTTTAAAAATAGTCTATTTCTTGACTTTGAACTTAAAGCTTTAACCATAACTTATCATGTATACATCACTCTTCGGACAGCTAGATTTGAAAATAATGGTTTCAGTGTCTCTTGAGTTTGTAGCTGAAGGTATCAGGCATCAGTGCTTGCAATAATACAAGGAGAAAGAAAAATAATGCAATCCTTTGCTTACCAAGGCTAGAGCGCTGTACATCTGTTTGTTTTCTGTTCTGTGAATCTAGGCCTTCAAACCATTTTGTAAACACATTGGAAAATTTAAAATTACCTTACTACTTAAGACTCTGTGGTCTCTGGAATCATGCTATTTGTTTTCTTCCTGTGTAGATACTGATCACATTGCTCTCCGACTATGGGGCACACAAATTTCAGTGGAAGTTTAAGTTTTGTGAATGCTATTTCACCAGTTAGACAAAACTGCTTTTACATGTGTGAATGACACTGATGCCAGCAGAGCTTCCACATCTTTCAGACTTAAGTGCTAGGTAAATTAGTTTGTCATAATAAAGCTTGGTAGTTTCTACAAGGCTGTTATGACAAACCAGGAATTCTGTAACGGAAAACTCTCCATTCTGCACAATATGGATATAATTTTTTGTTGCTGCTGTGCGCTACATAAATTGTGAATATAAAATTTAAATTCTGTGCTGACTGAAGGTATCTTCTGCAATTTTTTAGGATGAGGAAAACTGGAAAATGTTAATTGTGTTTTTGCCAGAAGACTCTTATTTGCATGTATGTCAGAGTCTTCGGTTTTTCTAGAAGTTTCTTATAAGCCAAAGTTGAGAATTCATGTGGAATACTCCTTTAAGGCTAAAACTCTGTCAGTATTTATTGGGTTGGAAGTCTGTAGCGAGATGCTATTTAAAACTTAGGGGGTTTCCCTGTTTTATACTTAGCTTTCTGGCTATTGAACTTTTCCCCTTTCAAGATGGCTTCAAATTTGCTCCTATGCTTAATTAATGCCTTTAAATATTCCGGATAGGAGCTGTTTGAAATAGCAATTTGTTTAAAAAGATGACAGAAAATGACAATGGTCAAACTAAGCAAAGATTTAAAAATGCCATAGCATTCTTGAAAGGTTAAAATATATTTTAAATGATCATTATCGTTTTGGTGGTGATGATTCCCCACATACAACTACCGTGAGTAATTGATGCTTCATTTTTCCCATTATACCAAAAAGGTAAAACAAATACAAAAAAAAATGATCAAGGTATTTTGTATTGTCAAGGCATGCATAGTCTAAAGAATTAAATGCTAAAATGAACAGCACTGGCTTCCTCTGTCAGTCATGAAAACTTGTTCATTTCCACCAAACTGTAATGTTCATACTTGTACAATCTTACCTATCATGACTTTAAGTTCTACTTTTCATTAACCATTATCTGATATTAGTTCGTAGAGCTTCTTATGGCAAAAATAAAATGTTTTAATTCTGATTTTTGAGTGTATTTCTTACAAGATTCTCCTTTAGAAATTATATACTCATTCTGTTTTTCAATTTTTACAGCAGGGGGCTGGAGCTGTATTTCTGATGACAGCATGACAAAATTATTAGGCTATTTCTGTTGGTTAATAGCATCCCATTGTATCTTGAACCACAGTAGTCAAAAGTGAGTCAGCTGCTGTCAGTTGCTTTAGAACATTTGTGCTACTTTTGTGGATTCCATGAAGACAGATGTAAGTGGATAAGGAGGATAGTTTTATTAATCTGAAACATCACAAAAGCAGTCTGGGTTTCCAACATGGCAGTGATACAGATTTTAAGCAACATCCAGTTTACACAGGTTCTGGATTAATATTTTAATGTTTCATGCCCAGTTCGATACTTTAAAGCAGAATTAGGAATAAAGCAGTAAATATTACAAAATGCAGTCAAGGTACATATTGGAAATACAAATTCCTTCATTACAGCAAATGTTCTGCAAAAGAGTAAAGCAGCAAATATTAATTTTTCTAAGGTAACATGCACTTTATATAATTCAATGTAATAAAAAAAGAAGCTGCTCAAATTAAGTGTTACAAAATCTATACTGTTTCAAGTTATTTTGTTGTAAAGTAAGAAAAATACATAGAAATGAGTCATAGAATCTTAACACTTTAAGAAATGTGATAAATGTAGGTTATAGTGTGTAATGGTGCCTTTTAAAAAATGAAATAGTCATACACATTACTAAAGCAAAAGGTTAAGTGTAAACGGCAAGAAATTTCATTATTACAAGTTGATATTTGTATAGTAAGTCAATTGGTTATTAGTCCCTTTTTGAAATCCAATAGAATTTTAATATGCTTAGAACTGTAGAAAATAATGGTAATTGTATATAACATAAAAGGATTATAGTTTTTCAGATTTGAGATCTGGATGAGACATCATTCGTGATGCCAGAAGTTAAATTGAATGTTTGCAAACGTTTACTGTGAACAGTGAGTGCACGTGTTGTGCCTTGATAATCCTTGATGGCTGGGTGTCTACAAGGTAGACGGGAGCACCAGCGTTTGCCTGCTACCCCAAGTCTAAGGTCGGGAGGTAGCGAAATTGGCTGGAAAATTTTCCAATATATGTTCTGTGTTTGCAGAATGTCTAATTAGGTACCCTCCTGTAGCCCTGTATTTTTACATTACACAAGTGTAGGATTATCAATCTTCCTTTAAGTCAATCAAGTCTCAGGTTAACATAAGATCGCAATGAAAAGTGTTCATTTAGAAGTGAAGGCAAGGGTGCCAAAGTGTTAAATTCATTGGGTCGATGGTTTAAAGCTATGTATAATCAAAAGATCTGTACAGCTACCTACTGCAGTGTGCCAGATGGATTTTAAATCTATGATAACACTTAAAAGATTGTCAAGTTGGCTACATTTTGAGGTTTTTGCAGACTTGAAGCGGCATTGTAACACTTTCATAATCTTGAATGCTGTCGTGATTGGTCTCAACAGAAAAAAGGACCATTAAGAGCAGTGGCATTAAAATACAAATGATTCCTTTGGGGTGGGGTGCCAGATACGTGCGGTTTGCTGAGCTGAAGCACAATATTTGAAGATTAAGTAGTCACAAAGATTAGTAACAATTCATATCACAACCCAAGGACCTAATCTAGCATTTTTTTAACTCAGAATTTTAACTGTAGGATTAATATCTCCTGTAGCAAATGTATTTTGTAATACTGCAACATGTCGTAGAACCGCCGTCTAAGTCAGATGTGTAACAGATCTACATTCAACATGTCACGCGTTGCTCTGTGCATTTCAGTGCTTCCTGCACAATTGTTCCTGTTCCCTACTATTTGAGGGAATATTGCACTTTTCCCTTTGGGAGGTACTGATAACAAAAGCTGAGCAGAATGATCACAACAGCCATTTTTACAATACAGAGAAGAAAGGAGTAAGAGAGATGGGCAGCTTTTTTCAACATCCAGACACAAGCACACAAAATCCTAACCAGAACTCTCTGTATTGGAACTGACGTCTGGGAAATTTTTCTTAGGGACTGACTTGTGTGGTAGGGAAAGATAGAGCCTATAAGCCAGGTGCTTCAACCGAGGTGCTAGGGGGGCACTCTGCCAAGGGCCGGAGGACAGCACTCCATTTACACAAAGCGAAACAGATGGCAGCCGCACTGCTCCCAACTAGTAGTGCCCGGTGTGGTGCGCATCCAAACAAGCAAGGTTTTCGCTGGGGTAGCTCCCCAGCCTTGCTTAGAAAGGGCACTGCCCGCCATGGACGCACGGGTTGGCCTCGCTACCCCTGCTCTACACTGATAATGAACAAGCTTCACCCTATCTTTCCCTAGCCTGGCAGGCCACTGTAAAACTTTATGCGTTAAGAGTCACACTTTAAATTTTGTACCCTACACACTTCCACTAAAGCAGAAATACAAAAGCCACGATAATCTCAATAGCCAGCAGACATTCCTCTTTAGGGGCTGTAAGGTGGAGGCTTTTCAAAGGGTGGATAGTAAGGTGGAGAGTAACGGGGTGGCGCGCTGGACGACCACATGTAGCTCGGCGAAGGTGAGGCCGACTGGGGCTCGTCAGAAAGTCCAGAGGGAGGGGAAGATGGAAAGACACTGGAATGCTGTGTAATAAAAAGAAAACATGGGTTGAGGGAGTGAGGTTGCAATTCCCCAAAGTCAGTCATTATTTAAAACTGAATATGGATCAAGTTTGTTTCTGTCTGGAACAAAGAGCTGCCAAACCTCACAGAGTTTGTGAGGGCAGAGAAACCCAGCTGCTCCACGACCTCGCAGTCACTCAGGCTGCAAAGCTCATGCAGAGTTGGTCTGAGTCCTACCGCTCCCTGGAGCCCCACGTGCAGTCCATCATGAATCCACTGCTCCTACTTCCGAGTTGTCTCTTGCATCACCACTCCCTTTTCTGTTTATAACGCAAGCCTCCTATACCTCTCAGACCTTGAGCTATGGCAACCGCACCCCAACCAGTCTTCATAAAGGTAGTTGGGCCTTAAGAACATTTATTGAGGGCCTCCCTGGTGGCGCAAGGGGTTAAGCACTGCACTATGAAGCAATTTGCAGCCTCTGCAGCACGAGGTCAATCCTGGCTGGCCAAGGAGCAACCCACATGGTGCAGCAGACCTCTCCTGTCTTGCCTGCTGCTCCCCTCAGCAGTGTATTTCAGCCAATCCGCCTGGTAGGTTCCCTACTCTGTCTCTGGTGAGTCATCACCCCCCACACCTCTGGCCTATACCCTAGCTCTTGTATGCATAAATAAATATTTTTTTTAAAAAAAAAAGAACAATAGCTAAGCTATGGAAACAACCCGAATGCCCAAAATTAGATGACTGGATCAAGAAGATGTGTTCCATATACACAATGGAATATTACTCAGCAATCAAAAAAGATAAATTCGGGCCTCCCTGGTGATGCCGGGGTTAAGATGCAACCTATGAAGCAATCTGCAGCCACTGCAGCACGAGTTCAATTCCCAGCCGGCCACATGGTGGGACAGACCTCTCCTGTCTTGCCCAACGCTCCCTCAGCAGTGTACTTCGGTCCGTCTGCCTGTTCTGTTCCCCGCTCTGTCTCTGGTGAATCCTCTCACCCCCTGCATCTCTGGCCTGTACCCCAATTCTTGTATAAAAATAAATAAATCTTTTTTTAAAAAAAAAGATAAACTCATGCAATTTGCAGCAACATGGGTGGAGCTGGAAGGGATCATGCTCAGTGAATAAGCCAGTAAGAAAAAGAAAAATATCAGATGGTCTCACTCATAGCAGGAATTTAGAAAACCTAAATTAGGGACCAGGAAAAAGACTAATTATATAAAGAAAAAATCAAAATCAACAAGCAACTGTAAACCAGAGACACACTAACGGGGAGGGGGGGGGAGGGAGGAGAGGAGGGATTAGGGCCAAAATAAGGGGGGTGGGAATTGTATGGGGAATATAACCAGAATGAAAATGCATACATTGTACAAATATGAAAAATGATGTAAGAATTATATAAAATAAAATAAAATCTAAAAAAAAATTAAAAAGAACATTTATTGAGGTTAAGCCATTAATACCTGGGAATGTCTTCACTCAGAGAACATACTACATAAAGAGTCCACCTCATAGACAACGAAACAAAGAACGAGGGTCAGAGAGGTTAAATGGCTTTTTTTTGAACTAGAGCTTTCTAAGGCCAACAATCTCTATCCCACGTAACTCCCCAGGAGCAGGGCAGGCTGGAGCGCAAAGAGGGAAGAGCGGCGTGGAGATGGGAATGCCGGTGATAACAACGAGGGGCAACTTGTCAGGCTGCAGAGACACTGAGGATTCCGTTCACTTTTTGTGGCCTGACTGCTCATCTCTGGGCAGGGAGGGGGCATGCATTTTCAAAATACCCAGTCAATTAGCATATTAGGAGTCTCTTCCCCTGGCTCATGTATCTGCCCTGAACCCTAGTGATTTCCCTACTCAAGAAGGGCTGACCTGTTTTGTTCATTGCTGTATCCCCCAGAGCTTAAGACAGTGCCTGGCAAGTAGTGGGTGCTGAATAAATGTTGAACGAGTGACTTACAACTTCGGGGGTATATAAGATGAACTTGGCATTTTTTGAAAAAATAAATGTTCTACTCAAAGAATAGGATACCCCTTGTGGGTGCAGCTACCTTGCACCAGTGGTGGCGCGTGGCTGAGGCCTGAAGGCTGGTGAGGGCTATAGGGATGGCAAAAGGCAGGAGGCCGGTTTTAGGCTCTCAGGAAGAGCAAACAGAAGCCAACAGCTGAAGAAGTGCAATTTTCTCTGTGTATTTAGCTCTCAGAGCAACTGGTATATTAATAATAATTTTTAAAAATCCACTTATCTCAAAATTTCTCAAGAGTTCAAGTGCTGCTTAAGGAGATCAAACCTTCACTTTGTTCTGGCCAGAGTCTCCATAGATCATGCCATTTTTTCAGGTCTGGAACAATCTTGGGTCAGCCTCAACATGAGGGTTCCGCTGTTCTGACACCACGTATTGATTCTCCTTGTCCTCAGTCCTGACCTCTATGTCCGTAGAAAGGGTTGTTCAGGTTTCTGGGTCTTGCCCGAGACACTGAAATATCTGTCTCTTAGCCCATGTTAGGACCGAGCAGAGACGGTAGCTGCCATTACCCCATGCATTATTTCACCCCGAGTGAAGGAATGACAGGGTTACAGAACCCACAGAGCCTTGAAAGGCAAGACAACTTGAAGCAGTGGACTCAAAACAAGCCAGATTCCTTTCTAAAATCTCACATATTCTCCTCCCTCCAGGAAGATGGACTTCTTAAGACGCCAGTGTCCTGATTTCCTCATTTTCCACCTCACACCCAACTCTTTGTTTCTCCTCCCCCTCTCTCCTCTATCTGGTGTTTTCTTCAACTAAAAATGGTCGCCCCTTAACTAGAGGGAACAAAACCCTACCAGGAATAAGAATCGGTGCCTGGACACGTGGTCCGCTGCCCTTCTAAATCCCACTCCAGGACGGTGAGTGTGGGAGGCCAGTTTTAGGTGTTCCCAGCCACAGAAGGGAGGGGCAAGTCTCCTACAGTGGAGCTACAGACAGTTCTGGCCTGAAAGGCATTAAAAGGCTTCTATGGGCAGCAGCTGCTGTGGGGGGGCAGTTGTACACTTTGATAATAAAAGGGGGGGGGCGCACAACATCCTCCAGCTTTTCCCTTCTCAGTTTCATGTTTGAGAAATATCGGGGGGAAGGGAGGGGACAACTCTCTCTTCCCTGTGAGGATACGGGGCATCGTAAGGATAAAATTGAAGGCCTCCTGGCAGAGCTAGGGAGCTAACTGGCTGCGGTCCACACACCCTTGAGGTTTGGTGGGGAAAAGGCCCACAGTACCAGCGTGGAGTTTCCTAGCAACAGGCAGGCACCTTAGGAAGGATTTGGCTTTGTTGCAGCTGGGGAGCTGGCCTAGTGCATTTTGGTTCCTGCCTGTGAGTGGACTTCACTAATGGGACAGGCAGCTCAGAAGAACAGAGCTCTGAATCTCCACATACCACAAAGCATGCAAAGCATCTAAATAGCCTTCTGCAGGGCCTAGTCCACTCGAGCTGTGTGCGCCGCTTCTCAGAGACTGGGGTGCCCTTCAGGTCGATGGTGCTAAATGAGAAGCACCCCCTTTCAGGACACACACACCCTCCTCTTCCACTCTGGCCTGCTCCCCCTCTGCCTGACGGCTGACCTCCACTCTTCCAGATCAACGTGCTCTTCTGTCAGGGCATGTGCCTCCTTCAAGCACCCTGTGAGGCAGCGGCACTGGAAAGAGCCCTGGAACCGGCCAGGTGATAAACGTTACCAGTTAAAGATGCTGTGCCCCAAGGGGGACATCCAGGATCTCTTAGATCTTTGCATTCCCCTTCTCTCCCCTTAGCAGGAGAGAGGAAATAAAAGGAAAAGGTTGAGTGGAAGCAGCACCCTGTGCCGTAGAACACCTCCTCCAGGATCCAAGCAATGCTTTTGTTAAACGGGCCCAATTTCTAATGGGTCATTTTTGGTGGCAAAGATATAGTCTATTCTCACGCAATTTAGTAAAGAGCATAAATGGAGGCACTTGCATTTTGCATAAACTGAGACTTTTGTATTAAGCTACACTTGGCAATTCACCGACTGGACAGGAAAAGGACAGTCCAAGCTTAAACCGAAGTCGGGGGAAAGGCCTGGTATGTCAGACTACGAGTTATGGCTGGAATCCTTAAGAGGTTGACCCCCAGCTACACAGAGCCGAATTTCCCAGCAGCAGAAGAAAGGGACCTACCGGATGTGGATGGCTGAGCTGAAGCAGAAGTATGGGCAATGAGGAAATGAGCGCAAGCGCCAGAGAAGTGAGCCTCGGGTTGATGAGCAAGGAGGTGAAGGAGGCCCCAGCTGATAGCCTTGCTGCTTTGGGGGATGGGAGTTCATTAAAACACAGACACCTGGGAATTTACCATGTGACAACATCCGGTTTCTCCAAGCTCAGCACTTAGAACTTCCTCAGGACCAGCTGACCGGACCCCCGGTCTGAGCACAAGGAGCGTCTCCCAAGCTTCCTAACTGGCCAGTTACCCAACAGAGGCATGACTATAACGGTTAAAACACATTTTCTTTCCTCTTCCTTCTATAAGCCTTAGGGTAACAAGGAAAGAGAAGTCTTCAAACCCAAAGGCACATAAATAGTCCCATTTGGAAACGAACAGAATGAGGAAGTAGTTCAGAAGAAATACTAGAATAGGTCAGTTTTCCTGCTGTAATGTGGGCCCTTTTGCAATCTGAGAAGAACATAAGGGACTGCTGGCCATTGTTTTTTTTTGTTTTGTTTTTTGTTTTTTTTTTTTTTTTTTGGCAGGTTTGTGCTTTGGAGGTTTTATTGTCAGAGCTGCTGAGCTGCTGTGCATTTTGCTGACTGCTTTCTATTTATGTGGGAACATAAGCAGATGTTTCCCTGTCCTTTTGGCTTTCTTGGATAAACACTGGTATTTCCTCCTTTGAAACTATAACGAAATGGAACTTGGTGAACAAAAGAAAGCTCGAAAACTAAAATGAAACACCATTTAAGTTCGAGGGAGAAAGCAATCACTTAAAAACACACCCTTCAAAACCCACACCATACAGTTATCAAGCCTCCAAAAAGGGAATGCAAAAGACAGCCTGAACTTTGAGAGAGCGAGCGCTAGAGCAGGGAGCAATTAATAATGTAATCAGGAAGCGTAAAGAGACCCTTTCTGAGTAAAGGCCAGAAAGCCCATAATTTAAACCAATAGAAGGAAGGTATTAACATCTTAACATTAACCAGGGAACAGAGCTATGCTATGTTCAAACTTACAGCTGCTCCAAAGAATCCCCCAAGCCAGTCTCTGGAGTCAGACCTAGAGTCTAATCTTTGTTCCTCCACTTACCATCTCTGTGGCTTTAGAAAATTCCATGACTCAGTCATCTCATCTTAAAAATGGCAATGACAAGAGCATTCCCCTTAAGGACTAAATGAGATGACACAAGCATTTAGCATAATGCTTGGCATACAATAAGCGCTCAATGAATGGGAGCTGGTATAAAAAGTACAGTCTTTTGGGCCTCTCCTGGTGGCGCAGGGGTTGAGCACTGGGCTGTGAAGCTGCCCGCAGCCTCTGCAGCGCCGGTTCGATCCCCGGCCACCAGGCGAGGGTCCCACATGGCGGGCAGACCTCTCCTGCCGCGCCCGCTGCTCCCCTCAGCAGTGTATTTCGTCAGTCTGCCTGCTCTGTTCCCCGCTCTGGTGGATTCTCTCACCCTCCCACGCTTCTGACTGTACCCAGTGCTCGTATAAATAAATAAATAAATCTTTAAAAAAAAAAGTACAGTCTTTCACAAATGCTGAAGTCCCTGCTGCGAGCCTGCAGTGTTGGTTAAGGCTAGGTGACTAGAGCTGTGGCCCCCCGCTGGGTTCCGTAGCCTGTCTCTGGGTTTCATAACACTCTATTTACTTTTTTGTCCCCCTGGCTGTCCCCTGACCACCCCCTAAGTCCCTATATGAATGTTTTAATGCAGAGCCTATGTCTCATTCAATATCTATATCCACAGCTCCTACCACTGTGCCTGGCACATGGAAACAGGGAGTATAAACATTGACTGCACTGAAACCAGAAGCCTGAGTCACCCCTGGCATTGTCAATCTTGCTTCCTCCTTGGGGTAGCACCTGAATAAGGAATGATGAAGAGCGAGATGACTCCATATGAGATAGGGACTTCCTAGCTTAGAGTGTGACGGAGAGGACTGCTCCTCCTTAAGGCGCTGCTTGTTAAAAAGGGAAAAGCCTTAGTCTGCCTGACAAAGACAAATAGTGGATATTGACACAGAGGACAATGAGACAAAGCAAATACTCAAAAAATCAGTGGATTCTGGTAAATAAAATGAGGTTTCCGGGGTGAAGAGGAGGAGGGAGGGAGAAAGGGCCAAAGAGGTGTAAGGGGTAGTGTGAATTCAGAAGGCTTTCAAACAAGTTCTAACATTACTTTTTCCAAGCTCTCATGGATTGTTCTAGAACCTTGTTCTAGTGCTAAATTTTATAAAAGCGAAAGAGTTGAAACATTATATATTTCTATTGCAAATACAGAGCTCCAGACCTCCCCCAAAGCCAAACAAACGTATACCTTGATTCAACTAAATGGGGCTTTTCAGTTTCAATTGTTTTGTTGATCTGAGGCTGAAATTAGGTTGTCTCCAAATGAGGCTGTATTCCTAAGCTGGCTGGGTAGTGCAAGCACCCCCAACAGTCTCCCTTTATGTTCCCTTGGAACATTCATGCACTTTGGCAATAGAAGCGACTTCATTCGCGCTTCCGTCACTTCACAGGTATTTCCTTGGGTCCGCAAATTATGAATTAACTAGATTTTAGTGTGGCCCTGGTCTTCTGTGGTCAAGGGTTTACAATCACTGTAAACGCCTAAAGGAGCATTTCATTTGTTTTCTGGAAGGGCTTAGTGCAGTGCTCTGCACACAATGGATCCTTTCAGTTAAGTGCCTTTTTTGGGTTCTGTTGTTCTTTGCTTGGTCTCAGCTCAAAAGAGAAAGGGGAGAGGGGAAATTCAGCAACACTATTTCTGACCCACACGATAACAGGGCAGGAAAGGGGAGGGGGCGTTACAAAAAAATATTTTCTCTGTGTAGTCCTCATTAGGGGATTTGGAGAAAAAGCGGGGACTCGGGCCTCCCTGGTGGCACAGCGGGTTGAGCCAGCGCTGTGAAGCTGTCTGCAGCCTCTGCAGCATGGGTTCGATTCCCGGCCGGCCAGGGAGCAGCCCCCATGGTGCGGCAGACCTCTCCTGACTCGCCCGCTGCTCCCCTCAGCCGTGTCTTCAGTCCGTCTGCCTGTTCTGCTCCCCGCTCTGTCTCTGGTGAATCCTCTCACCCTCCCACCTCTGGCCCATACCCCAGTTCTTGTATAAATAAATAAATAAATAAATCTTAAAAAAAAAAAAAGTGGGGACTCTTTCCTCCTTACAGATTGGCTTCAAACCCTTGTGTGGCTCGGGATGTCCTTGTGCCAAGGAGCAGGACCAGGCCTCTTCCTGTGGCAGAGGGATGGCAAATCTACTGTGGCCATGGCAAGGTATAAACAAGCCACTTTTCCCCCAGCCAAACCATATTCTTTCTGGTGTAGGGCAACGCAACTTGGGACACCTTCATCTTATCTCCTTCCCGCCCCTTTTCATCCATTTCTCTGATTCTTCTCCATTTGTGTGTTTCCTGCCCGCCTCATCTCTCCCATCGTTGTCTGCCCACATGGTCCTTAAGCTAGTCGCTGGTGTCCACAGGCCGCTAAGTGCCATCAGGGACAGACAGCCTGGCTACCTCGTACATACCGGGCAGCCTCCACAGCTGAGAAGAGAACAAGAGAGCATGAGTGAGAGCAAGAGTAATGGAGCATTCTCTCTCCCTCAAGACATACCTGGAAGTCATACGCAGAATACGGTGGCAGGTGAGGAGGGCTGTGGTAGTAGGTGTTGTAGGACGCCACTTGAGGACGCGCATAGTAGGAAACAGTTGGATGGGCGTTTTCAACAGAGCAGTTCAGAGCCGGGAGAGTTGGGTTCTGTAGAAAAACACAAATTATAAGCAAACTTCATCCATAGCAGACTGGTTAAATAAACTGTGGTGCATCCATACTGGGCACAACCAGGCAGCTATTGATCATGATGTGGACCCGAAAAAGCTGCCCAGAATGCATTAGTGCCAGAGAAAGCGGTCTGTGACATATTGTTAAGTTAAAAAAAAAAAAAGAAGAAGAAGCCACCAGCAAAACTACAGAGGCTTGGGGGAAAGGATGAATAAGCAGAGGAGAGAGGAGTTTTAGGGCAGTAAAAGAACACTACATGATATTATAACGATGCCCAGATTATTACATATTTGTCCAAACCCTTAGGATATACAACACCGAGAGTGAGCCCTCAGGGAAACTATGGACGTTGGGTGATTTTGACGTGTCAGTCTAGGTTTCTCCTTGGTAACAAATGCACCACTCTGGTGGAGGGTGTTGATCCCGGGCGAGGCCTTCTATGTGTGGGGACAGAGGGTTCAGGGGAAATCTCTGTACGTTCCTCTCAATTTTGCTGTAAACCTAAAACGGCTCTAAGGATCCAAACACTTATATGTATGTGTGTGTGTGCAAATGAAAGAAACGAATCTGAACGGATTCCCACCTGTGAACTGTGGTTATCTTGGGGGACGTAGGAAGAGTAGAAGGTCAGCGGGCACTGTCACTTTCCACTATGTAGCCAAAGTTTTTCCAACTACAAGCATTCCTTGTGTCATTCCCACAACTTATTATTTTGAAAAACTCAAATCTGTAGAAAAGTTGAAATGTTCTATTTCTGTGATTTTTTAAAAGAAAAGAAGTAAGATCTGAAATACAAAATCAGAGGCACTGCTCTTGCTGGGACAGAAATGAGGTGCATTACAAGGGGCTTATGGACCTTGTGAGGATGCCTGTGCTTTCCATCCTTGTCAAGGAGCCCTCATGCCGAGGTGAAGGGTATTTGCTCTCATCAGTCTTGCAGGCTGGAAGCAAAACCCTAGCGTGCACAGAAATCATGAAAGACCAAGCAATGTATTGAATGATTCCCCCCTCCCCACTCTCTTCACTTCCCTCCCTCCCTCCTCGTCTCCCTCTTTTTCTTCTGCAAACAAAATAATGCAGAAAAAAATGTAATTCATGGGTGTTCTATTTACAACATGGTGACGTGTCTAGCCCTTCGAGTTAAAATGAATCTTGGCCAGGACGGGGGTCCGGCTCACAACAGAGGCCAAAGCACTGCTAAAGGGAGGTATCACTGCTCATTATTCACTGCGATTTGTACCTTAGAAGTGCCACGTGGGTAAAGTGTGGGCTAATTTATTTTCCATATCCCAGGTCATTGACACCGCCTCCATTCCTATGGGTAATCTAGAGATGTCTGCAAAATCAATGTCTTGATTCTGATATGCATCTCCTCCATGTTAATGGAGAGCAGAAGTTTCCTCTCAAGTGATGAAAATGTATGGGCAAGGCTTTGGCAGTGGCACAGGCAACCATGTTGGGGTGCTGGCAGGGTAAAACTCCCTTACAGCAAGTTTCAACACGGTTCTGTTGTTCCCTTCCTTAGAGCAGGTTACTGTTTACACTTTGAGGACATTTGAAGAGCTACAAACCTCAAGTCATTCAGATGCAGCTCACAGACAACCAGAGAAAGAAATGTTTGCCAGTCTCTCTAGTGTGACAGGGAGCTGAGCTCTTGATCATGCCAAGGACCGGCTCCCTTCACAAAGATAGAGTGCTCAGAAATGCCCTTACCTCTCCACCAGAATTCTAAGAAGTTTCCTTTCTGGGGAAGTCCCAGAAGTCATCTTCCCTTGGCCTTCTGTCAATTACAGACACACCCTCTCCCGCTCTTGCAAAATGAAACCATTTCTTCTACGCAAACAAACTAAGCCTAACCTTGGAGAAACAATCACACAATGTAAACTACTATCTATGGAAGCTTTTGTGTTCAGTGAGGTCAGGGTCCCAGGATGATTGTTGAAAGGAAGTTGATTATGAGAGAGAAAAAAAACAAACAAGAAACTTGAGGGGAAGATTGAATGAGCACAGGAAAGTCATAGAGAGTCAAGAGTAGACGATAGAGGGCCTCCCCAGTGGCGCAGCGGTTGAGCGCTGGGTTGCGAAGCTGCCCGCAGCCTCTGCAGTGCCGGTTCATTCCCCGGCTGCTCCCCGGCCACCGGAGGAGGGTCCCACATGGCGCGCAGACCTCTCCTGCCGCCCGCTGCTCCCCTCAGCAGTGTACTTCGTCACTCTGCCTGCTCTGCTCCCCGCTCTGGCTCTGGTGAATCCTCTCACCCTCCCGCGTTTCTGACTGTACCCAGTGCTTGTATAAATAAATAAATAAATATTTTTTAAAAATTAAAAAAAAGAGTAGATGATAGAGAGGAAATGGACAAAGCAACAAAACAGAGAGGAGGGCAGAGAGGGAGGTGAAGTGAAGAGGTTGGCAGGGAAGGGGCAAAAGAGATGGCCCCAAATAATGGTCTGGGTTTTTTTCTGGTTTTATTTTAAATCAATCATTCCAATTTTACAATAAATTTGGTCTCTATCTCTATTTGTGCATGTATATAGGAGTTTGTATGTTATTCTGTTAAAATTCTTGGGCTTCAGCTGTGACACCCTATTATTAATCAGTAGCATTCTGAGCTCCAGTCAAATGAGTTAGGAGGTATGGACCTCCCCGGTGGCGCAGCGGTTGAGCGCTGGGTTACAAAGCTGCCCGCGGCCTCTGCAGCGCCGGTTCCATCACTGGCTGCTCCCCGGCCACCGGAGGAGGGTCCCACATGGCGTGACCACAGACCTCTCCTGCCGCCCGCTGCTCCCCTCAGCAGTGTACTTCGGTCCTTCTGCCTGCTCTGCTCCCCGCTCTGGCTCTGGTGAATTCTCTCACCCTCCCGCGCTTCTGACTGTATCCAGTGCTTGTATAAATAAATAAATAAATCTTAAAAAAAAAAAAGGAGTTAGGAGGTAGTTCAGGAAATAGTGTAAACAATCTTTCCTGAGCAACCAAGTTGATTCTGACACAATGCTTGTGGACTTTGGAGAGTATGCCATTTTTAGTCCCAACTTTACTCTAAAGCAGACACCAATTAAGAGAAAACGTCAAGATATCAAAATATAGTCACTTTTTAAAGGTTCATCTCAAGTCCTTATATCTTAGGTCGACAAATACTTCATCAAACATTTCTTCAAGATCCTTTTCACCAAGCACCTCTGCTCAGGAAATGAAGACATCTTTTTCTTTTCTTTTCAGGATCGCACAACTCTGGAAATGGCAGCTCCTAGCTGTCCTCACTCCCTAGGAAAGGCTTTCATAAGCCAGCTCCCCTGGGCCTCCCTGCAGACCCCAGGGCATTCCCCTCAGGGAGGAGACACACCACAAGTCACCAACCACATGTGAACCTAGAGAAAGGATTTCATTTAGGCTTGACTGTTTGATGGTACAGGATATTCTATGCCACGTCTCAGTCCATAAAGTGTCTAAGCACCGGTGCCCCACTGGTGGCACCATCTTATACTCCCACTTGTTCCCTGGCCTCTTGAATCGGGTATCTCACCCCCTGATCTTCACTTTCTTCTTTCGTTCTTCCCACTGCTCCTTGCTTAAGTTCACAGGGTCGGCCTTTGATGCTTAGGACTTCCTTCACCTTCCTCCTCTATCGCTAAAGAATCTCCCAACAGTTGGAGGCAACTTGCTTTTTTTTCTTTTAATTAAAGCAACTAAACAAAGGAGGTAATGTCTGTCTGTTAGAACACTTGTAAAAGCACAGAGGGCTACCCAAATGCTAGTTAGGGGCAGCTGGGATGGAGCCGAAAGAATAAAGGTTCTGGCATCTGACAGACCTGGGCTCCAGTCCCAAGCATGGCTATTTAGCTCTGGGCAGGGCACTTGACCTCTGTTGACTCGTGGGCTCCCTATTAAATGGGGGCAGCATACCTCACAAGGTAGTGTTAGTGGTGAGGCCTGAAGACAGTCATTGGGTAAGCACTTTGCAGTGATAAAGGGCTATCACTGCCACCTATTGGGAGATAGACCATGAACAAATGCTCTGTTCCCCTAGAAATCTAAGATCACTTTGAAATGAAGTGTCCAGAAATAGACCCGTGCGTACATCGAGGGTCAACTGATGCTTGTAAGTGTCCCCGCAGGAACCCCATAGAGTCTACCAAATAGCCACCACCCACAGCATTTGCGCATTAGGGTAGCTTGGCCACTGCATCCTAGAGTCTGAAAGCTCTAGGAATGGTTCAGGGAACTCTGAACACCCATCCTGACGTCACAGCTCCTCAACTTGCCAACCCAGGGAGACTCTGCCAGGCAGAGCAGCCCAGATTCTACACAATGCCTCTGCTTTCACCTGTCACCTCCGCCCCCAGGTCTCCAACAAGGAGCCCAGCACCCTTGGTGTTGATGTTTCCCTGCCCCTTCACGCTTGGGTTTTCCCGAACTGGGGGGGGGGGGGGGTGTGGGAACAAGAAATGCATATGTGAGCGAGGGAGAGCTAAAAGAGAAGCACAGGCAGCCCGACTGGACATCCAGGGAGGGGCTTCTCTTGACTTAGGGTCACCAGCAGGAACAGAAACTATTTGCAGTCAGCCTGGTTTTGCTGGGGCCTTGTTACCCCAAACTGTATAGACTTTTCCTTGCCCCTGCCCCGTTCCACCTTTCACTCATCCTCTGGACAGTCCAGGCTCACGTTTACAAACTGCCTTTCCGGTTCCAGTTCCTTGGGGACCAAAAATGTGCCAGAAACAGCTCAGGGCCTAGCTACCCGCATCATTCCTGGGGGCAAAAGAACACCCCTTGGGGGATCAAATATTTCCCTGAGTACACGTAGGACATTCCTTTAAAGCAATGGACCTCGACCCTGGCTGCAGGGCTTCCATTTAGACCATCTGGACCAAGTAAATCAACCCTGGAGGAGAGGCTGAAGCATCTGTTTTTTTTGTGTTTTTTTTTTTTTTAAGTGCCACGGGTGATTCTTTTCCAAAATGAAGCCAGGCTGGTGACCGTAGCGCTAAAGCTATTATCTCCATACTTAGAGACCCAGGCTCGTGAAATAGGCACATGCTCAGAAATGCTCGAAAAGCAAAGGAGACAAGGTCTATGCTGAAGAAGCACCCGCCGGTGCTGAGTGCCGGGTGCCTTTGCAGCCACTCACAATACTGAGAATTGAAAAGAAAGCTAGGGAACCCAGGGAGCCTGAGATTGAAGTCCAGGTTGAGGACACAATCTGGCAGGCAGCTTAGCCTAGGGCTGGTCATTCAAATGAGGAAAGAAAAGGGCCCAGACGCTCTTTCTGGAAAAACTCCAGGATGAATTTTGGGGAGTGGGAGACACTATGATACTACAATTACTCTTTTTTAAAAAAAATTTGTTTATTTATACAAGAGCTGGGGTACCGGTCAGAGGCGTGGGACGATGAGAGGATTCACCAGAGACAGAGGGGGGAACAGAACAAGCAGACTGATGAAATACACTGCTGAGGGGAGCAGCGGGCGAGACAGAAGAGGTTTGCCACGCCATGTGGGAATCTCCCCAGCGGGCCGGGAATTGAACCCGCGCTGCAGAGGCTGCGGACAGATCCACATCACTGCGCTCAACCCGCTGCGCCACCGAGGATGCCCGACACTATAATTACTCTTACCTGTAGCTTCAAAAACCTTTCCTTCCATCTCTCCCAAAATCTGTTAGGGGGAAAAACTACCCAGATGGCTACTAAGAGTTCATGTGTGTGCTTGGGCACGTCCACATGCCCACACATGAACACACACATAGGGGCTATGAAAGTTTATGTTTATATAACCAGCATGAACAGGAGAACTCAGAACACTCTCCCTCCTTCACCCACCCCCAGGATGTATCACAAGCACACGGGCAACTCACATTAACAAGAAATATTTGCAGACTGACGACATTACCCGGCTCCTTCAACTGGAGATGTCTGAAGGCAGCTACATTCTTGAAGCAACTACTTCTAATTCCTCCCTCCAAAACCCGGGTGTCCATGGCCTCCCAAACACCTATCCTGACACCTCCACCCACCCGGGTCTCTGTGGTATAGAAAGTCCCTTCCTTACCATGTCCTTAAAGCCTCCAAGGACAGCAGCGGTGATGATGCCGAGGAACAGACCGACGATGTTGAGGATGGTGGCCGACCAGAGCAGGTGGTAGAGGTGGATGATGTCCTGGCAGCTGCTGACATCGATGTACTCGTAGTACCCGCCGGTGATCTCCACCCGGCTGGACAGGGAGAGGGACACTGCAGTCAGCCCCCAGGGATCAGGCTGTCCTGCGCGCCTTGACTACCACGCAGCTTAGCAAAAAGATAGGTTGGCAGGTGGGGAGCTATGGTAAGGGCACTCAGGGAGCAAGACATTACGATAAATGCTACGATAAATCAGGATGTGATTGCTCGTTATCCAAAAAAACCCCTACCTGCCAGAGAAACACTTGTTACCATCACTAACTAATCCCAGTGTTTATTGACACTTCCTAGGTACCAGACACAGTGCTAAGCATTTTCCATAGGTGAATTCATGAAATCTGAGCTAATGTGGTAGCTACTAGTCCCACTTAGCTATTTAAATTTAAATGAATTAAAATGAAGGAATATAAAAAAAATTATTTCTTCAGTCTCACCAGCCACATCGCAAGTGCTCAATAGCCACACTTGTTTTTAGGGTTTTAAAAAAAAATGTAATTAATTAATTTTAATTAAATTTTTTCCCCACCAGCACAATGGATTATGGTGGAGGACTAGGGTGCCTTGGTGGTGGGTGTGGTGTGGTAACAACACCTGAGGGCAGAGATTCTATACTTCTGTTATACAAATCAATACGCTGACCAAAGCTACTGCAATTGAAAAAATAACAACAGAAATAAATAAAATTGATGCCCGAAGTTAAACCAAAAAATATTCCTGCCGAGGAACAGAATGTGGGAACCTACACTCGGCTCTGGAGTTGGCGAGGAAGACACGCAGCTCACTTACTACCCCCAAAGGCACAGCTGTGCAAGACTCGCCCCTGGAAAGGGCAGACCTATGTTTGTGGGGACGAGGGTGTGGGTGCAGGAGCACAGAAGAGGCTTGAGAGTCAGCTTCTCGCCTCCCGGAAATGGTCTTGGCCTGCTGCTAACACGCCCGGGGCGGGCTGAGAACAGAGATGCGCGGGATCTCCCAGGACTCTGCTGTCGCGCCGCAGTGGAATCCTGGCTCTGTCACTTACGTGCTGCTGACCCTGAGCGACTTTCTTAGCCTTCCTGAGCCCAGGGATTTCATGAGAGAACGCATGGAAGCAGCACTCCAGCACATAATGAGAGGCCGCCAAAACTCGCAGTCCTATCTTTTCCCCTCTAAGAGCCAGCCCCTGGCAACAGGATCCAAGCCTCTGAATGTTGTTCTTAGAAGACATTAACACTTTAAAGGCAGAGACCACAAATGGGGTCTTGTTAAAAATTCACTCATTTTGGAGAATATGTGTTTGGCTTCAATTTAGGCAGCTTCAGCAGCCAAAGAAATTTATTTACTGAATGACAAAGCAAAAAAAGTTAATACTTAGATCTGGATCAGGGTCTGGCAAACGAATGTGGATTGTTTCTGCTGGAGATTCATGACAATATTTGGTTCAGTCTCAGGCCAGAGCTTCCTCTGAAATTCCATCTTTTGCATCCCTACCCCCAGCCTGCATGACAGATCCTACCACTGGCAGAGCGAGCTTCCCAAAAGGTGTTTTAAATGAAGTCATTTGTTGAATCAAAATCTTTCCATGGTTCCCCATTACCTTCAGGAAACAGGGTCCAAATTCTTCAGTTGGCCCGAATCTGATTCCAGTGTGGAATCCACACTCCAGGTAGGCTGGAGTTGCCAGGGGTCCCAAATTGGCGAGTCTAGCTATTCGTTCCAAACCTTTGCTCAGAATCCCCCCTTCTGTTCGCTACCCATCCTTGTCTTTCCCTCTGTTCATTATTCACTTGTTTAGCACCCTCTTCAAGGACCCCAGTGTCCATTCATTAGCCTCAGACAGTCTGTTCCTCTTAGTCTGGTGCTTTGCATGTGCTAATAATTCCGTTATTCATTTTCTCCAGTATTTATGGAGCCTACTCAGTGCTGAGTACTGCACTACGTGCTGAAGAGACAAGCAAGGCCAAGGTGCAGGTGAAGTCTGTCTAAATGCTAGTCATCCTTTTGTCTCCCTCCCTGCCTAGCACAGTGACAGCAATGTTATTATAGGTCATCAATAAATACTTGGTGAGTGAATAACTGAGTTCAAAGACTGATCATTGCGTTGATCATGAGATTGATTACCCCATACTGGCTTTCAGTTCCTTACGCTCAACTCGATGGGTGTGACCAGACAAACGGATAACCTCTCTGTGTTTCAGTCCCCATTTCACCAAGTGTTGGAGGCAACGCATTTTGAATAAAGGACGCCCTTCTGCTGCTCGATAGGGGCCTGGAATTATTTGCCAACTCTTGGTGGACAGGCGGTGGCAACAAGCAGCCTCACCCCCACCCTGCTGCACATATTCTGAAAAGCCATCTAAGTCCCCTCCCCATATTCCCCCTGCTGAAGTGAGTTCCTTACTCCCTTTTATCAATGCCCACTCCTCTAGCGCAGCCCCTGGCACATAGTGGGAGCTCCATAAACGCTTATCAAAGGGAGGAATGAATGAAAAGTAAGCGATCTGCTTTCATTTTATTACCAGCTGAAGCAGTTCGCAAACCACGCCATTTCCTTTCATTTCCTTTCGGTTACACACTGAAAACCAGTGATAATGACTTGACCTCTCCAAAGCGGAGCCAAGTACTGTGAAAAGGCAGCTGCTGAGGGGCTGTGTCCTAGAGAAGGCCACCTTCCTGGACAAGGCTAAATGGAATAATCTATGGTATTAAAACCTCACTGCCCCTGACGTCAAAGAAGGTCTGTGGGTTCTAGGGGACAGTGGAAACTCTGTTTTGGTAGCACTGTACAAATGACGGCCTGATGTTTTTGTTCCCACTTTTTTTTCTTGGCCTCCTTTCCAGGAAATGGACTGGAGGAGCTGGCAATTGATTAAAAATAAGCTTCGTGTGAGGAAAACAAATATGTATTCGGCAGAATTAAAGTCTCCCTGCCTCAGAATGCTTGTTGCCAAAGGCATGTGGGTGGTCTGGCGGTGGGCGGGGCGTGGCGATGCTCGGAGGAGGAGGTGTGAGCCTGCTCCCCTGAATCGTGGACGTGGACGTGGACGGGGCTGTGAGGCAATGTTTCCTCAACAACAACAACAATAAGGAATGCTTGTTGCTTGTTGTTAACTATATTTCGGTCCTGAGTTTAGGAACTCTTTGATGCTGCCTGGAAAGTCTCTGGTCGAGGAAAAAGTCTTCCCTCTCTTACAGGATTATCACCTCTTAAGTTTCAAGGCCTTGGTTTCTGACCTAGTGATACCATTTATCTCCTGACGAAAAGCTCAGTAAGTCCTGTTCTAGTAGCTCTGCCCTTGGAATCTTTGCTACAGATTTGGAAAAGGGTCTTGACAGATACCCTCTTAGTGGCCTACCCCAATATTTCATTTTCCTGGTGAAAAGGTATTCTTTTTGTTTCATTTTAGCAAATGTCACCCCCTTTTCTTCAGGCCTTTACTCAGGCTGGGTCCTGTGCTGGAGCCTGAGGATAAAGATAAGATTTAGTCATGTTCTCTGCCTTTGGGGAGCCCGGAGTTTAGCAGAATTCCTCATAAATTTTCTTATGAGCCTTGAAGACAATACTGGCATAATTTGCTTTAAGAAAGTAAGAAAGTCAGTTATTATGACGATCAGACTGACAGGAAGATAAATTGGGCTTGAGTCTCCACTTTCAAAAAAAATTCACCTAGGGGCCCAGCTAAGTGGAACTTAAAGTAGGATTTAGTTTATTCAGATCATTCCCAGAAACACACCTAATCGCAGAGAGAAAGGCGTGTCTGCAAGGAATCGCTTCTCAACCCGAGGGAGGTAGGGGTGGTGTTCTGGCCAGCACCCAGCTCGCCCCTGCTCAGGAGGTCATGAAATGGAAAAGGAGACGGGAACAGGCCAGGGGAGGATGTCAAGAGGAACGAGGAGGTAAAAAGACAGGGAAGGCCAGAGCAGGGGAGAGAGGGATAAGGGGGGGCCAAGGGAAAGATAGCAAAATAACCCCAACTCCCCCAGGCCCTATTTTGCATTCCTTTGATCTTTTTTGGAAGGCTGGGCTCCAAAGTGCAATTATAGCCAGCTCTCAATCACCGCTGCTAAGGAGGGAAGTCCTTCACAAGTGTTAGTTATTATTACAGCATGAATAATTGAACCTCCCAGACAATCCCCAAACCTCATTTGAGTCTTTATGTTTTTCTTCCTCAGCCGCCAAACCTTTTAACGAAATGAGGCTGGTGTTGGCGAAGGAGGTTAAGGGCTGGTGTGTGTTCTCTCTCCTCCCCGCTCCAGTGGGACAGCTCCTTGTTTTTCCTTTTTTGTTTTCTTATTGGAGTAACATTGCTTTATGGCACCGTGTGACTTAGGGTTATAGATGGACCCCTCTTCAGATACATGTCACCACACAACCCCCACCCCCAAGGCACCCATGATCGATTCTCCACCATAGCCCACTGGCTCCCCTCCCCGCCCCCCACCCCCACCCCCCGGTAGTTTCAATTCTATAGTCATATTTCTATGAAGAACAGTATGGAGGTTTCTCAAAATATAAAAAAATAAATCTACCATGTGACCCAGTCATCCCACTCGTAGACACCTACCTGCAGGCTGCAGGAACACTAATTCAAAGGGCTAGACGCACGCCCATGTTTATCGCAGCACTGTTCACCATAGCCAAGGTACGGAAACAACTGATGTGCCCAACAGGCTGACAGCTCTTAATCCTCAAACCAGAGAAACTGGCCCCCAAATACTAAGAGTAAGAGGCGGCTGTAATCCGTGTGCCCCCTCTGGGTCCAGCTCCATCCAGGACTCCTCTGCCAATTCCTCCCCTTCTCCAGGTCCTCAGCACTCATGCAGAGTCTGCAGAGAGCAGATGCCGGGGCAGAGCGACTGACACACCCCACGTGCAGGGCTGTTCACTCATTTTCTGCATCACCTGCTCATGCATTCCTGCTGATGCCATCTTCTAAATTTCTCTTAAAAGTGCCCCTTGCTTTCTGCTGCCCCTGAACCTCTTTGGCCTGGACTCTTTTACTGGCCTCCTAGCTACCTCCAATCTCTAACCACTCAAACCCACTCTACCCTTCAATGGTTCCCAGTTATTTACAGGGTCAGGTTCACATTCATTCCCCGAGCCAATGAGCCCTCCATGATCTGACCTGACAGCTCTACCCACCTCTCTTGCCATCTAGAGATCTCCCCCTACCCTTGAAGCTGCTCAGAATACCCTCCCCTCTTCCACCCCCTTTTGGTTTGTCTCCTAACCCCCTATTTAGCCTTGAAATCTCAGCTCCCATATCACCCCCTCCTTGACACTGTCCACCCGCCGTCCACCCCGCCGTCCACCCCCCAGTGACTCTGCCAGTCATTTGGACAGCAGGGCCCGAGCACACCCCCACCACACTTATACTAAATTGCAACCAACTGTTCACGTGTCTGTCTTACCAACTAGTCTGTAAGCTCCTCAGCAGTAGTCTTAGTATTCTTAGCACATAAATATGTTTTGAAAGAAAGACTAAGTAATATTTCACAATTGGAGAGCAGAGAACCAGAGTGGTTGCAGCAGAACCAATACCAAGCCTGCTTCTACCTCGGCACCTTTATACTTACTGTCCCTCTGCCTGAAACACCTGACACCTGGATGTGGGTCACTCTCTCCCTCACTCAGGTCTCTGCACAAATGTTACCTCCTCAAAGAGGCCTTCCCTGACTGCTCTAACACCACTCACACACTCCCCGCCATGTCGCTCTTCATCCACCTTTCCTGATTCATTCTTCAGTGCTTTGATCAACACTTGGCCTAGTCTACATGCCTGTGTTTGTTGACCATCTTCCCTGACAAAATATATAAGCCCCATGAGGCCACAGGATTTTATTTTTTACTGTTGAATCTCCAGTGTCTAGAACAGGGCCAGGTACAGAGAAAGTATGTAATAACTCTTTGTTGAAGGTTGTTGAACCTGGACTTACGCAGAACTGGGTCTGAACCCTACCTCTACCATTTTCAAGTTCTGTATGACCCTGGGCTAGTTGTCTGTTTCCTCTAAGTCGCATCATCTGTAAAGTGAGCAGAATAGTTCTACATACATCACAGATGAGACTTAAATGAGATCACGTATTAAAAGCATATTAAAAGCATGATGTCTGGCACAGAGAAGGCAAGTGCCCCTGTTATGTCAGCTGGAATCTATGGACAGATCAATGTCTTCTACTGCTCTGGTCCCTCCTGTGAGCCCCCTCCCCAGTCCTTTTAGTGCCATTGTGGTCAAAGCATTATTTTGTGCCCGGGGACTCAGCACTTACTTGCCGCAGTTGTAGAGGTCACAGCAGAAGCAGGTGTTGCCCCGGATGCGCGGTGTGCAGAATCCACGGCTGAGATGAGGGCAGTTCACCTGAGGGCACACAACAGTCAACAGTAAGCTGGCACGGGATGGGAGGCAGGACCCTCTGGGCTTGGAAAAGTGAGTTAGTGAATGATGGAAATGGTGCGGATGGCTGTGAAATGAACACACCAACTCATGAGAGTGCTTGGGCTGGGCACGGGGTGGTTGAACTGGTGCATGAGGCAAGTCACTGTGTGGCTGGACGTGGGTTCAGCCTCAGCCACAGTCCTCAGTGCCCCGTCCCTGAAGGGGGGAGATGGAGAGGAGGCAGGATGGATGGAAAGATGGATGGAAGAACAAATGGATGGCAGGAAATAAGGATATGGCGGGGGGGGAGGGTTAAGGTACCAGGGGAGGGAGTCAGATGGGAAGGAAGACAGAATGGCCATCACATGCACCCTGAAGTACAATAGTACCTCTCTAGCTGCCTGGGTAAGGTTCCTCATAACCCTCGTGGAAGGAGAATTTTTGGTTGAGGAACTTATGACCTTATATAGGAAAAATAGGGTTAGGGGGACCAGGGTTACAGGGGAACAGTGGAAGTCATAATTCATATTTTTTACAGTCACCAAGTTAACGCAAGAAAATCATTACAATGACATCAAGAGAATAGCCATGCCATTTCATACATCTTGAGTTTGCAAGAAAAAAATGTAAACACTGATTTCCATTTACCATCTCTTGTTTGCAAGAAATTTTCCCAGCTCTCTCCCCCCTGTGGACGTAATGAAGTGCTTGTAAGTTGGTTTTGCTGCATTCTAGAGAATATTCATGGTCACTGGCAATTTTTCTATATTGGGTCCTTTATCCAGATGCTCAATGCCTTTCTGATAAGTACATACACATTTCTATTTCTCTCTTTTAATCTGAGAATGGTTAGAAAAATGGGAGATTTGTGATTAAGGTAAAAGGGGGTGGTAAGCAGATGGCAGAACCATCGTAGAACTAGTTACCCTGATGCCTTGGGAGCAGGTTCATTGCTTTGTCTAATTCCATGGGCACCACTGACATTGTATTTGTTTTTTTTTTTTTATTTTTTATTTATTTATTTATTTATTTATTTTTTTAATAGAGGCATGCTTTATTTATTTGTTTGCTGGTTTGTTTGTTTGTTTTGTTTATACATGCACTGGGCACAGTCAGAAGTGCGGGAGGGTGAGAGAATTCACCAGAGCCAGAGCAGGGAGCAGAGCAGGCAGAAGGACCGAAGCACACTGCTGAGGGGAGCAGCGGGCGGCAGGAGAGGTCTGCACGCCATGTGGGACCCTCCTCCAGTGGCCGGGGAGCAGCCGGGGATCGAACCGGCGCCGCAGAGGCCGCGCGCAGTTTCGCAACCCAGCGCTCAACCGCTGCGCCACCGGGGAGGCCCTGACATTGTATTTGATGTAAAATGGCGGCCCCTGACATTGTGGCACGCTGTGGCCATTTTACATCTACCCGAAATCACAAATTTACCATTTTCCTAACTATTGGGGGGTAGGGGAATTTCAATTTGAGGTTGATAGAGTACCACACTGTCAAGATTCCTAAGATGCATATGCTAGAGTTTCATATTAAAGGGATGTCTGGGTTAAGGAGGAGGGGTTATTGTGTACTGAAATGAAAGTTCTGCCAGAATGCCCTGGAACGGTGCTTCACCTCACTGCCCGCGGCCCCTAGCAGCATAAGATGACACAGAACCCAGAGAACTAAAGACAGGTACTCTCATGTCTCCACCCAACCCAAAGCCGCTCTTGAGTATTATCAGACTAGCCTCTTGGGGGATCGCAAGTTGGGCCGGGCTGACAGTCCAGCCTTCCCAGAGCCTCAAAGGGTCCAGGCTTGTCAGTGACCCTCATTTGGCTCCCTGACCCCTCTTGCATGTGGGGTTCAGGCTCTGCCTCCTTAGTCCCGGACTCGTGGCTTGGCTCCTGGTTTTCTTGAAGCAGAGAACCGAGTCCAGGTAACTGAAGCATCATCAATAGATGTGGGGGAGGGGCATGCCCTGTGGCCTCTGAACTCTCATCTGTCCCTCTTGGGATCAAAGCCACACACTGAGAGGCTGCCAGCTGGGGTCAGAGGGGCAGCCTGTGGCCACAGAACAAAGTAAATCTGATTAGGCCTCATGAGGCTCCAACCTAAGACCATGGCCTCATTAGCACTGCTCTGACCCACTCAACAAATAAGCCAAAGACACTCAGCAGCAAACCTTAGGCCTGTGGAAAGGAGTTAAAGGGGGATTTCAAGCAGAACTGGAGACTTTCCCAAAAGGTAACACATTCAACCTCATTCTGTCTCACCTCCTCAGCTTCCTTCTGGGACGTCTTGGGGACATAGTGGCACCGGTTAGCATAGAGTGGTTTCAAATCCTGAAAAGGGAAACACCAAACCAAAGGCATTTAGGCTTTGGAAAATGAAACAGCAAGAATTTTGATAAAAGATTTGAATACACATGTGCCCTTGCACACAGACGCACACTCAGCGCACATGCGCACACACTCACCACGGCAGGCAGTGGGGTGGATTCATTTCTGAAAGTTGCCCATCTAGGGTGTCTGAGAAAGTGAGGATCAGATAAGAATGTTCTAATGTCTGCTTCCTATCAGGCCACTTGGTTAATGAGAAATGAGGAAATTGATTGAAAAATGGGTTTCTCAAAATTTCCTCTCTGGTTTTCTTTCATTTCTAGTCTGTCTTCTTGCAAAGAGTCCCCAGAGAACAAGATTCAAAACTTCAGGTTATCGCAATATCACATTCCCAAAGGGAGGGCACCCAGCTCCATCAATGAGGGCCGATGACCAGTGCTGGCTGACATGGACTCCCTGCTGCCACTGCCACAGCTTTTCCAGAAGGAGGAACTTGGGAAGAGCCCCAGGGGGATGGATGGCCACTCAGACTGCTTTTTATTTGTTTTCATATTTTCAAAATTATAATTGGGTATTACCAAATTAAATGAACAACTCTTAAGTTAGACTGCCAAATGAAAGCACTTTCTAGTTTTAAAGGTGCAAGGCAAGGAAAGACAACATAAACATATCCCCATTTTAAGTAGTTGTTTTGTGGTGGGGAAATGGCCTTTTAAAACATTTCCAATAAAAAATGATTTCTAATCAGTTTAAAGAAGATTAGAAAAATCAGTGTCTTATACCAACTTTAACTAGAAATAACCAAAAGGAAAAAAAAATTGTCCTCTATCCTGTTTTGCATCAACACCTCAGGCTTCTGCTCTTTGCCTTTCAGGGAAAAGATTCCATTATAAGGCCTTGAAAACTGCAGTAGATTTCAACTCAGCTGAACGATGAGGCATTTTCATGCAACTACACAGATTAGATAAAGACAGATGAACTCCAAAAACACTGCTAAGGCCCAGAAAACTAATATGGGGCTCAAGGATAGTTGATTTATCCTGCTGCCTTGGCCAGCTTCCTGGTGGGGGAGGTCTTAGACATGGGAGCTGGGGACAAACAGAAGACAACCCAGTGCTGCCCAGAAGCTCGCAGGCAGGGGATGCTGTTCACTTTCAGGGGGGTGCTAAGCATCCTGAGTGGTAAGGGGGCTTCTGCCAAAAGCAGGTGAGGACAGGACAAGCCATTTATGCAAACTGCTCTCAGGGCTTGGCTAAAGTACCCTGGGAGAGGGAACTTACCTACTGCTCCCCATGTCCTACCCCACTTCGCTCACAATTTCCAATAATCCTGATGGCTGCTTTTCCCCACACATTCGATTTAGTGTCTCCTTTGCCCCATCCAGAGCTTAGGATTTTCCACGAGCTGCTTCTACATGAACTCCTGGCTGCTTGGTGTTCTAAAAATATGCTGCCCTGTGGGCTTAGCCTGGAGTCAAGCTAAAAAAGAATGATGGTTCCCAGGTACTCACCTGCCAGGGTTTATTTTCCATGTATGGATAATGGCATGTTATTATTATCCCAGAGAAGGGGAGGCTTGATGAGCTGGTCATAGCCCTCCTGACTGACTTAACAAAAAGCATTCAGCCACCAACAGCTCTAAATAAAGACGGGCATCTGTAATGGCTGCCCATTTGCTGCCTCGGGCTGCTATTCTACATTGACACCTCAGAGGATATACACGCCCACTCAACTGGGAAGTAGGAAAAGATCACTGAGCCAGGGCTTGGCAACCTTTTTAATCTGAAGAGTCACTGACCCTGGAGTAAAGGGATAAAAATGGAAATTGCTGTGAGTGTCTACTCTGTGCAAGGCTTTCTCAGGGCATGTTCATACCTATTAGTTCACAGCCATTAGTCCTCACGCTGGCCCTGAGAAGTAGAGGACTATTATATTCCTTTGGAAGAGGAGGGAACTATGGCACAAGCCAGAGAAGTGACTCTTGTAGCTAGTAAATGGCTATTTGAGAAAAGGGGAAAGGAGGGAGATATGAGACAAGAGAGAGAAATAATAAGACACATTTTGAGGGGTGTGTAAGAAGGTACATCTGGAGAGATACTCATATCCATCCAAGTCAAAAATCAGGGCAAGATGATGTTAAAGGGCCTCTAAACAGAAAGTCTGGCACTCACACATATATGGACAACTAATCCATGGCAAAGGAACAAAGAATATGCACTGGAACAAGGATAGTCTCTTCAATAAATGGTGCTGGGCAAACTGGACTGCTACATGCAAAAGAATGAAACTGGACTACTGCCTCACACCATGCACAAAACACAACTCAAAATGGATAAAAGACCTGAATGTAAGACCAGAAACCATACAATATATAGAAGAAAACATAGGCAAGACACTCCATGACATATATCTTAGAAACGCCTTTAAAGACTCATTCCTCAAAGTAAAGAAAATGAAAGAAAAGATACAGTTGGGACTACATCAAACTAAAAAGCTTCTGTAGAGCAAAAGAGACTATAACCAAGATGAAGATATGCCCTACCGATTGGGAGAAAATATTTGCACTTCACACAACTGATAAGGGACTACTATCAAAGATCTACAAAGAGCTAACACAGCTCAACAAAAACAAAACAAGAATCCAGTCAAAAGATGGGCAGAAGAGCTAAAAAGACACTTCTCCAAAGAGGAAATGCAAATGGTAAACATGCATATGAAAAAGTGTTCATCATTAATTACTATTAGGGAAATGCAAATCAAAACCACAATGATATATCACCTCACACCAGTACAATGGCCCACATTAAAAAAAAACTAACAACAAATGCTGGTGAGGATGCGGAGAAATAGGAGCCCTTTTACATTGCTGGTGGGAATGCAAACTGGTCCAACCACTATGGAAAGCTATGTGGAGGATGCGCAAATTACTAAAAATGGATCTACCATATGACCCAGCAATTCCACGCTTAGGAATCTACCCAAAGGCCACAAAAACATTAATTCAAAAGGAAACCTGCACTCCTATGTTCATCGCAGCACTATTTGCAATAGCTAAGATATGGAAACAACCTAAATGTCAAAAAACAGATGACTGCATCAAGAAGATGGGGTATATATACATAATGGAATACTACTCAACAATCAAAAAAGATAAACTCATGCTATTTGCAGCAACATGGATGGATCTGGAAGGGATCATGCTCAGTGAAATAAGTCAGAAGGAAAAAGCAAAATATCAGATGGCTTCATTTATAGGAGGTATATAGGTGAACCAAACAAGGGGTAGGGGAAAAAAGACAAAACTAGCAGGCAAACTATAAATCAGAGACAGAGACACACAGTAGGGGAGGGCAAGGGAGAGGGATCAAAACAGGGGAGGGAAGCGTACAAGAGACTATGGTGATGGTTTGCAGGTGACTTGGTGGTGGGAATTTTATGGGGATTACACCTTAGAGAAGAAATCAAACATTGCACAAAAATGAACAACGATGCAAAACATATATATATTTAATATTAAAAAAAAAAACCAGAAAGTCTGGCATTTAGCTACTCAAGTGGTGCGTCCAAATGTGCCTTTCATTTAAACTGGCCAACAGATAAGATTAGTAAAGCCTCCTTCCTCAAAACTCCCTGGGTGTCAATGAGGACTGGCAGGCGGCTTAGGACAGGAACAGTAAAAGCAGAAAGGTTTTCCTGAAGATCCATCCAACTTTACTCCAAATCCCTGAGTTAAATGCTCTACTGCAGGCCACTGACCACAGGGGGTATGGACCATCTGAAGTCAGACAGAAGCAGGTAAGTGATCATTAAAGGAAACTTTCAGAAATATAATTTAGATTTCTACCCACTGCCTTTGACTGAGGTCAATGATCAAAAACATCAGGAGAGTCAGTGAAGCTTTTTAGTTTGATGTAGTCCCAATTGCTTATCTTTTCTTTCATTTTCTTTGCTTTGAGGAATGAGTCTTTAAAGGTGTTTCTAAGATATATGTCATGCAAATCAAAACCATCATGAGAAATAAAGAACACAATGAGATACCACTTCATACCCGCCGGGATGCCTAGAATTTAAACATCAGATAATGACAAGAGTTGACAAGAATGTGGAGAAACTGGAATACATACATTTCCAGTGGGAATGTAAAATGGTATAGACACTTTGGAAAAATATCTGGCAGTTTACTGAAGGTTAAACGTAGTCACCATGTGAACCAGTAATTCCACTTCTAGGTATATGCCCAAGGAAAATGAAAACATACACATGTCCACATAGAAACTTGTACATGAAGGTCTGTAACAGCATCATTATAATAGCCCAAAGGTGGAAACAACCCAAACACCTGTCAACTAGTGAATGAGCAAACACAATGTGATTTATCCATACAGAGAAATATTATTGCGCTATAAACTGATACATGCTACAACACGGATATAGTTGGAAAACATAGTGAGAGAAGTCAGGTCACAAAGATCACCTATTATATAATTCCATTAATACAAAGTGTTAATGAATATAGGGAAATCTATAGAGGAAGCAAGTAGATTGAAAGTTCCCTAGGACTGGGAGGAATCAGGGGGAGAGGGAGTGAGAGCTAATGGGGATGAGGCTTCTTTGGAGGATGATGAAAATCAAATGAAGTTGACAAGGTGATAGTTTGCACATAACTGAAAATACTAAACCATAGAATTGTGAACTTTAAATGGGTGAATTACATGAGATGTGAATTACATCTCAACAAAGCTATTTTAAAAAATAAGATTAGCAGTAAGAGGAGGAGGGAAAGAAAAGAGCCATTTTAGCTCATGATACCATCAAAATCTACTGTAGGCTTCTTGACCACTAGGCCTGGGGTTGCCATGGAGACTGCCTCAGAGTGAATACTGACTGTCAAATGGGGATAATAATGCCTGCCCTACATGTCTCACAGGATTGCTGTGGGTCTCAAATGAGATAATAGATGTGAAGGTACCCTGAAAAGCTACATGCCTTACACAAAAACAAGGAATTATTGTTATTAAAGATGGCTCCTGTTGAATACAAAAGAGCATGTATCCTCTAGTGGATTGCAGCCATGCTACAGAAATAGGTATCTATTCAGAGGCTTACATGCAAAACCGATGAAAACGGTTCTATTAGGATGGTAGGATTGTGGATGTTAAAACTTCCTCATGAGTCATTTGCTGTTATAGGAAGAAAAAGATAGCTGCTAAAATCAGCAGGGATCCGTCTGATATGGGAGCCTACCTTGTGTTTCTGGCCCTGAAAGAAAACTGGCCAAAGGGTCCCTTTCTCTCCGACCCCTCACTTTTCCCCTGCCCAGAAATGATCTTCTGAGATGCCATTTCAGAGACTGCCCAGGAGGCCCTGCTGACCATGTGCATGCCTCTTATCTGGGCAAACACTTGAGGCTGACGCTTGAGGCTGGGTGGAGGATCCCAGAGCAAGCTGGAGTTGAAATGAGAATGGTGCACATCACCCCTCCCCAACCCCAGCCACATGTGTGACACTCCTTCAGAACCCCTGACGCTGTGAGCCAATGGCAAAAATGGAGTAACAAATCACTTGAGCCACAAAATATTCTGCTAATACAATTTTGCTCTAATTCAATTGTTTCAGAAAGCATAATTTCCAGCTAGTTCATGGGAGGTTTTCATTTTCGACATCGGGTCAGTGGTGGAGGGAATGAACTTTGTGGTAGGGGCTCAGTAAGCTGCTGTGGCCCATTCTGGAGTGTGGCCTGTGGGTCACATCAGGGCAACATTATGACTCTGTTGGGAGTTAATCACTCGTGCCTTTGGGGACCCTTTCTGCATTAAAAAGTCTTGGAACTATTATTTTATGCATTTTAATTAGATCTTATGACTGCACTGGCATATAAAGACACATACATAAATATGATAGGTTAAGAACTTTTTGTTTAAACCTGAAAGTTCATTTTTTTTAAAGATTTATTTATTTATTTATACAAGCACTGGGTACAGTCAGCAGCGCGGGAGGGTGAGATAATTCACCAGAGCCAGAGCCGGGAGCAGAACAGGCAGAAGGACCGAAGCACACTGCTGAGGGGAGCAGCGGGCGGCAGGAGAGGTCTGCGCGCCATGAGGAACCCCTGCCCGGCGGCCGGGGATCGAACCAGCGCTGCAGAGGCTGCAGGCAGCTTCGCAACCCAGCGCTCAACCGCTGCGCCACTGGGGAGGCCCATGAATGTTCATTTTATTTTCTTCTGGTTCGAAAAGAAATGATATTATGATGATGGGACCTGGAACCTACGATGGGTCTATATGCTGACTGTGCCCCATGAAGGCCAGCGGTCTGGAGCAGTATGAAGTAGAAAGCGTGGGAAGAGAGGCAAGGGATCCTGTTGAAAGCCATCTGGGACCCCCGAACCCCACGCTTCCCCAGGGCAGGAGCACAGATTTGGGCTTCAGGTGAAAATGATCTTTTCTCGAAGCACAGCTTCTCCAGAGCAGGAAGCATCTGGCACCTTCACTGGAGGACTGGGCTCTGAGTGGGGGCTGCTCGCTCCAGCGCTTGCACCGGACCCCAAGCATATCACTATTCTCTAGCCACCGTCATGGGGGCGATTCCGGTATCCGAGAAAGGGGACTATGTCCTCACCATCTGCACTTGTTGCGGATGAAGTGGAGAGAGGTCAGCTATTGAAACCTCCAAAGCTCTCAGGAAGTCAGATGGCTTCCTGCTTCTCTTGCCACTTCCTCACTCCCAGCTCCAATTCTAAGCCACTGCCCAGGCTCCAGTGTCCCTATTTTTGCCTTTCCAAATTTTATCCATAGGTCAAAAGCCTACCTGCAGCTCCATCACCACCGGGAAGCCTTCCCTGACCTCTGGGGTCCAAGATAAGCCACTATGGCACTCAGATACCCCTGTGTAGAAGCCCACGTGTTCCCCAGAGGCCTCATCTTGACTGTCAGCTCTTTGGGGCAAGGATCTTGTCTTCTCCCTCTCCTGTACTCCCACAGCACATCCTGCACAATGTGCTGTATTGCCCATTACTCTCACCCAGGACAAAAATTACTCACAATGTGTCTGGCAGCAAAGACTCCGTCCACTATGGCACAACAAAAGGCCGCAATCACACCGAAGCTGATAAAGACGATCGAAGCCACCAACTGCAGGGAACAAAACAGAAGTGTCTGTCAGCCTTCCACGCTTGCTGCTTCTGGAGCCCAGGCAAGCCCCAAGAGGCTCCAGCCAAAGCAGACCTCTGGACTGCCTCGCCCGGAGAATGCTCTTTTCAGTCTTCTAGTCCTACAGGATGCGTGGGAGTCGGGGGCGGGGGGGGGGAGAGGAAGGAAGGCAGAGGGGACCACAGAAGCACTTTTCAATTTCCAGGCAAGCTGAGACATTAACTCTGAATCTGCGAGCACCCAGTGAAGGGGAGACTTGCTGGTAGCCGGCATGCTGTCCATGGAGGAATTTGACTGTGACTCTTGAGTTCTAAGACTCAGAAAAATGTCAGATCTTTGACATCCTGTAGTTCAACCTCCTACTTTATTTATCTGAGAACCGGAGATCAGTGAGGCGAAGTGAGCCTGGTGCCCACAAACTACGAGGCAGTGTTCTTCCCGACCCCTACTACTTGATGGGGTCGTGGGCACTGATGAAGTGGGCAGTGATTCTGAGATCCCACGCAATGCGACCTGGCCGCCTGCATCTTGAGGAAAGGACATTCAACTTACTAAGATTTAAATGTCAGTGACATTTTATAAGGGATGAAACTGATAACTCTGCGGTACATATAAAAAAATTTCAAGTAAGAAAAACGGAGTCTTTATCAGACTGTCCTAGTCTCTGACATGTCAGATAACAGATTTCTTTCCCTAATAATTTATTTTCCATTACAAGGTGATTCTACAGCCCTGTATTTCAAGGTGTTTCAAGGGGCAGGGATAGGTAGTGCCCAATCCCCACCACCTGCCCATGCTGACCCTCAGAACCTCAAAACACCCTAATTGTTTTTCTTCTTTACGGTGTTTGGGGGAAGAAAAGGGGAAAATAGCATGGCTTCAAGTTGCTCTCCAGGGAGAAGGAGGGAATCAAAGTCAAGGCCACCCTAAGGAATGCTCAGTTGTTCAGAAACCTCTCCCCATAAATCTCACTTCACAGCACTACAGAGAATTGGTAAATAATGGATGAACGATGTCAGAAATTGGCATTATCAACTATGCTGTGATCAGCTCTACAATTAAAACGCCCCCATTATTTTGAATAATTGAAGCCCAATGTGCAATGTAACTGGCAGAGGGGGAGTCCAGGTGAAATGGAAGAAGAGAACTATTAGGAGTCCCCTGAGGGTGATTCCCCAACATTGCTGGGGGAAAACATATGGTTAGAATGCTCTGTCCCCAGAGCTATCACGTTGTCTGATTAAATAGACCCCATTATCAAAGTCTAGATGCCACAGAGACTTGTACGCGGCGAGTCTCATCAGTGCACCACCTGACCACTCACCAGGCACCTTGATGAACAAGCCTAGCCTATAAAACTGCAATATGCTTGCAATTTGGCCCCAACCTACTTCCCTTGCCTTCTAGGGGGTGTTCTCAGACTGAAACAGGAAAATACAACAGCTTGTCCTTGTGGGTCCCCACTAAGACGTAAAACTTACCTTCTGTTGTGTGTGCATCTTTCCTTTCAACTTTACAACATACTTACCTTTGAACCATGGATAAGAGAAATACTTTAGGTTGGCTTCATAATTTCATTTTTTTTCTGTGTGACTAAGTAGATGTGTTCACTCAAACAAAGACCCCTAGGTTTTAATCTCCTAAAAGGCAAGACGCCTCTGTGAAAACTTTCCCCCAAATATTATACATCAGAGAGGAAGAAATGAGGGTAACCCATAACCTAGGGGCAACAGAAATCACAGAAGCAAAGGCGATATAGGACAACAGCCTGGCTGGACAGGCCAGAGCACTCCTTTGGGAGTGAGGAGGAAAGCAAGGGCAAGGTCCAGAATATTCTAGCCCCATGACTGGAGGAGACTATCTAGGCCACTGAGGGAGCATCAGGCAAGATAAGAACAAATTCCATGCCAGAGGGTCACTGTAAAACAAATTCCCTTAGAAGAAAAGGCAATGTGCCAGTTTCTTTTGCAGTTCAAGCTAGGTAACTTAAGAAACACTTAAAGAAATGTGTTTACTTATCCATATAAATGTTGAGCTTTTGTAGACAAAGAACTTGAATCTATAGCAATGAAAACTTACCATCTGTCGCTTATTCTCAATAAGGTTTGATCCGATGATTCCGAGGAATGATCCAAAGCCGAGCTGCAAAGCAACAGGGCATAACATGGTATGTGGGAAGGCGGTCAGCCTAAACACACAATCACTCCAGCTCCTGGATCCGAGTCAGAATAACGGAAAATAACTGGGGTAGAGATGCTAAAGCCACACGCAGTTGTTATTTACACAAATACAGAATGTACAATAAAAGTATTTCTCTCATCACTTGCCAATTTTTCCTTGTAGATATGAATCATACCTAAAATGTACCGCATGTACCCAAAAACGAAAAGTAAAGGTCAATCATAGCTTTTCAGAGCTGCTTATTCCAATTTCAATATCCATTACCTAGCATGTGACTGGTGAGTCATTAAGAAACATATAATGGTAAAAAGCACACGCTACAGTCTGATGTTTATTATTATTACTTTTTTTTGAAAGAGACCTTCCACTCTGATGCACGGCTACAAAATAAACATTTGAAATAGCAATTTTTGATGCACCTGGCACACTAATCAAACCCAGGAAGTGCTTTAGAAATCAGCAAGCACCTTAACCTAGACTTTAAAAAACAGAATTTTTTTTTGAAAGCCTGTATTTGTGGTTGACCCACTGCAATTTATGTTAGCATTTATTCACCTCCTCTTCCATCTCTGCTTCATTTATGGACAGAAAGCATTCATTAAAGGGTGAGCAGAAATGGCAGTGTAAAACCCTGAAAAACAATTTCCCTATCTAAGTGGCTGGGCTGATGGCTCAGAGAAGCAGCTCCGACTCTCCTCTCTGTTCTGCTATTAGTGGACTGAGTCTGCCAGTCTTGGCTGAAAAGGATCCCTAACGGATGGCTGTTGGCGGGATGAAAATGGAAGAAGTAAAAAGCGGTGAGAACGGAGCAATAAATCTTAACACAAGTTCAGCGATGTAGTTACATTTCTCTGTAGCCCCACTAATGATCTGGTTTCCATCTGCAGCCTTACCTTGGCTCACAGGGGCATCTATTTCAGTTCAAGGTCCCACAACCTTCTACCTAGACTTGGACATCTAATAGATCCAAGGGCTGGGAAGGAGCTTGTGGAAGAGTGTGAGAGGACAGGGTGGTTTGTCGGAGTCCCAAGAATGAAGGACACATTCTGCAGGGCCTCTCTGTCAGCAAGCCCTCTTGGGAAACAGAAGCTGAAGGGCATAAGGGCATATCCCAAGCCATGAACACCCTCGTCATTCAACAATTAAACTGTGCCCGTCTCCCACCTGGTCTTATTTTAGATGTGATCCAAATGTATTGTCATGAAGAATATTGATTAAAACCTGATTATCAGAATAGCCTGGCTTCTTTTTTTTCTTTTTTTCCTAAATATTTATTTATTTATTTATTTGTACAAGCACTGGGTACAGTCAGAAGTGCGGGAGGGTGAGAGAATTCACCAGAGCCAGAGCGGGAGGCAGAGCAGACAGAAGGACCGAAGTACACTGCTGAGGGGAGCAGCGGGCGGCAGGAGAGGTTTGCGCGCCATGTGGGACCCTCCTATGGTGGCCGGGGAGCAGCCGGGGATCGAACCGGCGCGGCAGAGGCTGCGGGCAGCTTCGCAACCCAGCGCTCAACCGCTGTGCCACCAGGGAGGCCCAAAGAATAGCCTGGCTTCTAACCCCAGCTCTTCCACTTACCATCTATGCAACCTTGAAGAAAATTGACCTCTCAAAACCTCAGTTTCCTTATCTGGAAAATTGGGATTATCTTCTAGGGTTTTTATAAGGATGATACATTCAAAGAACTCCACATAGTGCCTTGCACACAGTAACTACTCAGTGAATATTAGCTGTTATTCTAGTGATTCATATTTTCTATTTTTATTTTTTTAAAGATTTATTCCTATACAAGAGCTGGGGTACAGGCCAGAGGCACGGGAGGATGAGAGGATTCACCAGAGACAGAGCGGGCAGCAGAACAGGCAGACAGACCAAGGACACTGCAGAGGGAAGCAGCGGGCGAGGCAGGAGAGGTCTGCCACTCCATGTGGGTATCTCCCTGGCTGGCTGGGACTTGAACCCGCACTGAAGGCTATGGACAGCTTCACAATGCTGCTCTCAACCCACTGTGCCACTGGGAGGCCCCGTATTTCTATTTTTAAAGACACTTAACTTTTGAGCCGTTCTAACCCGATTTGAGCTGGAAAATTCTATCATGATTTGCTCTATGTCAAAAGAGTTTCATGTTTTATCACATCTCCCCCTCCAATACGTGCCATAGCTTTTATTTTTTAGGAAGAATTCCATGAATAGTCTATGCTTATGTCACCCTAGGACCCAGGGGAGATTGCAAGTTGGACGAAGCTTCTTACATGGAAAATAAGTCCTTTTATTGACCAGTTCCTCAGTTTCCATAGATAGCCACTGAATGTCTCTTGAACTCCAATTGCAGTCTTTGTCTTAAGATGGGAAGCAAAGACACTTGCTACTCCCAATGCTCTCAAATAACACTCTGATGGCAGTGACCAGAACAGGTGGGCTAAAACTTAATAGAATTGACTAGAAAGACAAGGCACTTTGGGACTGGAAATCCCAAGCCAGCCAGTACTTAATCAGTTTCCTCCCCTTTCCTTCCATTACATTCTATTCCATTTCAATTCGATCAATTTTCTAACATTCACTGAGTATTTTTGTCAGATCAATAAGAACATGGCCCCTACCTCCAGGAGCTCATAGGCTAGTGAACAAGACACAGTCTGTGGGTTAAGGACCACAGGTGAGGTGCAAATGAAGTGCCACAGAAGTGGAAAATAGTTCATTTTGTATTATATTCCTGGCTCTGCTACTTACAAACTGTGTGACCTTGGGCTAGTCCCTTAACCACTCTGTGTTTGGTTTCCTCATCTATTAAACAGGAATCCTAATGGAACTTACTACAGTGGGCTGCCGTGAGTATTAATGAAGTATGTCTTGTGCCTTGCATAAGGCAGGCTGCTTAATAGGTAGTTCTAAGATTTCACAGAGGAGGAGACATTTTAACTTGGGCTCAAAGGATAGGTATAGCTTTCCAGGCAGGGAACTCATATCTATTGACATGATAGGAAGAATGCACTCATTGGACAACAGGTTGATGAACTCACCGGTGTCACTAAAACTACCTCACATTTGAAACACATTTTAAAGAAACACTTGTACTTCATTTTGGTCACAATAACATGCAGCAAACGAGGAAAATGGAGGCTTAAAGAGGTGTATGGACTCATCTCACATGGAAAATTAACGGCAGGGCCACACTAACTAGCCCTCAGGTCCCCTGACTCACAGCTGGTTTTCCTTCAGCTGCACTTTGCTGCATCTGTGGTATGTGTTAGTAGAATAGTGAATTTCATCACTGCGAGCCAAAGGGCTGGGACAAAAGGAGAAATCAAGAGAATTTCCAGCAAAATGGGAAGCTGCTTTTAGACAATTTTTGGCTCTCCTGAGGCCTCAGAGAGGTAAGCTCCTTGATCATCCTTTGGACCTCCATTTTTATTCCTAATTACCTGAACAAATAACCAGTTTGCTTTGTTTTGGCTGTCCTCCACTTGCAGAAAAAAACAAATCATTAGAAACCAAAGTCAGATTCAAGGGCTCTTTTGGGGCTGGGCCCTATAACCTATGCCTATCCCCATCTACTGCCCCAGATACCCAGTGGTGAGGCTCAGGATTAGTCATTCAATAAGAATTAACTGGGCATCTACTCTGTGGCAGTATTAACTGTGACAGATCTGTAATTTGGAGACCAGGAGGGTGAGGTGGGGTATGATACCAAGGCCAACAAGACTCAGCCTCAAGGAGCTATAATTAAGCAAACTAGCCTACCATCCCTTTCCAAATTCCTGAAATCCATAGAGCTCTTAAAACAAAATAGTGCTTTTTTTGTTAACTAAATTGGTGACAAAACCTGACCTTGAACTTATGTGAGGTTACTTTATGATCTTTATGTACTCAGTATAAAAATTCACAGTTTATTATAAAAATAGGAAGGTGCTTGATTATGGAGAGTTTTTCAAGACCCCGACAGGCATATGATATAGGCATATACATGTGCATGTGTAGTTCTAAAATAAAATAAAAAGTCTAAATTCTAAATTTTTAAATAAAATTCTAAACTATAAATATAAATTCTAAAATATAAAAATATAAGTTCTAAAATAAGTCTAAATTCTAAAATAAAATAAAATGTCTAAATTCTCAAGCACATCTGGCCCAATGTTTCAGATAAGGGATTGTGGACCTCTAAAAACAAAGCTAAATGAGAATTTAGCTGTTGCCACAAAATACTCATCTCAAGCACGGGATGAGTATTTTGTGGGAACCTATGGTTGGGAGTTCAAAGCTAGTACACACCACTGTGGACCCCAGCAGCTGAGTCCCAGTTGTGTCTTCAAGTTGGGATAGGACAGCACCTTTAGATAAACAGGGAGCACAGGGAGGAAGTTCCAGGTCAGGGGGACAATGAAAATGGCAGTGCTAAGCCAGAAAACCCCAAACCATGTTCAGGTGACTGTAAATTGACAATTTTGGCAAAAGATCGGTAAAGGGAAACCAAGTCTCAAGGGCATCTTTCAGAACTTTGAAAGGTATGCGGTGGCGGGGAGGGGGGGTCAACAAGGAGCCAATGTAGGTTAGAAGCTCATAGCATTATCTGTCTTATCCAGAACATCAAGATTCCAGCCTCATCTTGAATATACTTACTAAGGTAGGCACTTAGTGTTCAGAATGATCTGCTATAGAAACATTTTCAACAGGAGATAGACAAGATTTCTACCTAATTCACAGTAAACCACAAAATTCTGCTATCCAGAGCACCTGGTATTTCCTGAGCATTCAAGTTAACAAAAACCTTTTGTTGGATCGATCAAAGCCTCTACATGAGAAGCTGAAGCCATACCCGCCTAGGAAAGGTTTGGGGGCTTTTGATTGTTTGAAATGATCCTTGCTGATCCGGACTCTACCATCTCACAGTAACTTTTGATGTAATTTTCGACGAACTGAGCCTTCCAGGAAGTGAGTAGACAGTCCTGGTTTCTTTTCTGAAA